ATGCCCTGCCTGACCCCCTGTTCCAGCACACCCTGCTCCAACCCACCTGCCATGCCACCCAAACACCCTCTACCCCCCCACCTACCCCTAGCATCTCTCAGGACGTGCACACAATTGAAACAAAAAATGTTATTTACCTAACAACACCCCCTCCATCCTTCCCCTCTCCCTCTCTCAACAAACAGAACCCCCTCCTCTCCCCAACCGAGCCCCCCCACCCTCCTCCCCACCCACCAATAATAAAAACCCACTTAAAATTGGAAAACTACATACAATTGGAAAACTATTTGCAACATCATTGGTTTTTGAGCCCAGAGTGGGGAGCTGTGGGGAGGGGAGGGCCTAGGGGGCAGAGCCTGGGGACAGGTGCCAGCACCCCAGCCTCAGGATGTTCTCCCGTGGGTCTGGGGGCCATGGCAACCCCAGTGTGTGGCAGCCTCATGCATGGCCAGGTCTTTGAGCGCGTGGTGCAGGGGAGAGTGACAGGGCTGAGCCCAGGCAGGCGGCGGCAGGTCCAGGCCAGGGGGTCTGGCAGGCAGGAGGCATCTGAGGACCCCCTCCCAGGCCCAAGTGGGGGTCTGCTACAGGGCAGCAGGTGGGACCCAGGGGCCCTGCAGAGCCATGGGCAGGGGTCAGGCAGTGGGAGGTATAGATGCCACTGCCAGGCCCAGGAGGGTGTCCAGGGCCTGGCAGTCAGCATCCCCCTGCTGCTGGAGCAGCTCCATTCAGATCTAGTGGGCCCCCAGTCCCATACCTCCACCTAGACAACATCTTCCACCTGCCAGGCCTGCTCCTCCACCTTCTGCTCCTCTGCCACCAGCCACTGGAGCAAGAGCAGCTAGCGCATCCAGATGGCTTCAGCGGTGCATGGCATTGACTCAGAAGAGCCTGCATCTCTACTGGGCTGGTGGGGTCTTCCCCATGTCCAGATGTTGGCTCTACAGAGGCAAGAAACAGAAGCCTTTTGTGCCAGTTTGTGACATTTCAGAGATAAGATGGTCTGCACCAATGGCTGTGTGCTGCCCAGGGACCATGGTAAGCTGGCTGGGCAGGCTCAGGCCTAGGCAGCTGCTGCCTGAGCCCCACATCCCCACTTACTCCCCTGGGGCTAGCAACCTGCCATAGGCAGCAGAAGGCTGGGCTAAAGGGGCTCAACCCCCCCAAACACAGGGCAGCGGGTAGAGCTGCAAGGCAGGATGGGTGTGGGCTCTGGGCGACAGCAGCAGGGGTGGGAAGATAGACCTACTCCACTGGCACACTCTTTCAGAGGCTCTTAGGGGTAAAACCAATGTTTCTGCTATCTATAAGGGCTTTGAATCTGACAAACCTTTTCTCTCTCTTCAGTGGAGCTAAGATTTTTTTTTTTTGGTCAGAGAATCCAACTGGATAAAAATTAAACTTTTCACAGAAGCATATAGTTCCAGTGGGAATGTTATTGGGATGCTTCACACACCAGGAATTTAAAAAAGAGAGGGAGAGAGAAATAGCCAGTCAATCTGCATTTACTAGCATGTGGGAAATGTGGGAAATGCAGCTCTATGAGCATGCAGACCTGAACGTTGGTTGCACCCAGAAGGTGGTTACAGTGGTTGGGAGCAACTCTTCAATTTGAAAAACCCATTTTCAGTCCAACACAGGAAGAAAAACCAATTCCACAACTTTGAATATTTTCTCAAAATCAAATTTGTGTTTTCTTGCTGGCTGCAACAGTCTGCCCATCAGGGAAGCTGTTTGCAGTTAAGACAAAGGGAGGCAGGGAGAGCTCCAAAGCTGAGACAAATTTCAATCATGGGGCTTTGAGCCCTGGAAATAATATAGGAAATAGTAGCTAGCAGCTTCAAAGACTCAAACTATGGGGTGTGATTCACCCCAGAAAGACTGGGCCCAAACTCTACGGGTCAGATCCTATTCCACCTATTAGACAGCAAGTAGCCCTTATCCATCTAAGTGTGATTGCATTCCACACAGCTCAAGTGCCCAAAAAATCAATAATGCAAAAGGTGGATTCTCTTTCTTCTTGCTGCTGTTTATGACTTAATCTTAAGGCTAAGATGATAGCATATTATGAAAGGAGATGCTTTAGCTTATTATAAATTGATCTGAATCTTTCTGGATAGGACAGGATATAAACCTCAATAATGATTTTCTAGGCCTTCTAGCAGGATGGAATGGGATGGCACTAAGCACCACTTAGACATCTAAATAGGTTAAATAGATTTTGGCCTTCATATTCAGAGGGTCCCTAAATTTGATGATATGGTATAATTTTGTTCCTTCCACAAACATAAGCCATCCTTTACATTTTTGTTTTCTGTAAAATGTGTGTCCGTGTGGAGTCACAGAGAGATTTGGAAGAAACATTGCTCCTTAATTAACTGAGAATGTGTATGTGCAGAGATCAGGGTATGGTGGTATATAAGGTGGTGGTGGAAAGACTGTCTAGAAGAAGACAGTCTGACTGATCTCAGAGGCTGTGGATCTTTCATTAATCCTTCACAAGATGAGTAGTGACATGTCCTATTCATTTCACTGATTAAAATATTTCTTTTGATATTTAGCTACCATGTTTCCGGTGTCCTTTAACTGTTGTACAGAAGTATCACACTATGTTCCCAGAAGTCTTCTACGGCAAGTACAGATGTTTGAAATCCAGAAAGAGGATGGAGTATGCCACTTACCAGCTGTTATGTAAGAGAGTGTTTTTCTTGGATGATTGAATTTTAAAAGGGCCAATAATCATTGGGCCTGGTTTTCAAGTTATGCCAGTGTAACTCTTATTCATTACACTGCTGAAAACACAGTGGAGAGTTAGGACCCATACGTTTTTAAAATTAGCTTTTTTCACATTATTAACACCTTGGAGTGCTACAATTAACTTACATTAAATAAAAATTCACCATTTTCACCATTGACGTTGGTGGATACCTCTTGCACTTCACTTACCATGGACACAGAGAAAAGATATCAAATCAGCTTTACTTTCTTAGTATGAAGTCAAGTGGAAGGCAGGGCAGGGTGGCACTTTAGAGATTAACTGATTCAGAGAGACATACACTTTCATAGGTAACAGGTACATAAGGTGCCACCCTGCTCTGGATCTTCAAAAAAAAAAAAAAAAGAAAAAAACTCAAAACAACAGCTTTACATTTGTTTATCGTAGGTAAATCTACATGTGCATATTAATGTGAAGCAATAAACTCTAGCACTTATGTCAGAGTTTATTGTTCCTGGGTGCTATATTTATATGTGCACCTGGGACTACAGCACCACAGCTGGGTCCAAACAGCCCCAGTTGGTGAGGGTGAGGGTCAGCCACGAGTCCGGGACCACTGCTCAGATCAACATGCTGCAGAGCGGCTGGCTGGGGCACATGGGCTAGCTGGCAGGCAGCCCCTACGCTGATGCACCCTTGTGCCTCAACCAGCCAGGTCAGCATCTACACGTGCATTGCTGTGCACGAAAAAAACCTGCAGCAGGGTAGTACTTGTAAATATTTAGTAGTATTTACAATTATTGCCTTGCTGCGGCATTTATAAGTTTACTGCGGTCTAATAGGGCCCCACATGTAGATGCTGAGACATTTAGTGTGAAGCTAATCAGGCAGCTTTGCATTAAACAACTTGTGTAGACATACCCAGTATAGTCTAATCGGTTCCAGCTTTTGGCTATCTTCACTACCACTATACCATACCTTTGGTCCTATATTACAGGGGGATGTTTAATTTCAAACCATAGATGAAAATGTTGAATTTAAAAACAATCATGGAAATATTTGCATTCATGTTGTTTCATAAATCTCCAGTTTTATAATATCTATCAGCCTGCTTCACTTTACTGCCAGTGTAAACGTACCAGTTTGCACTGTGTACTGTCAGGAACTCTGAAGCCTCTCTCTCCATAATTCAGGATGTACTGAATGCAGTAAAACCACTACTTATTTTGGAAGTAAGATAAGAGAATCATTGATAGTTGACCTCACACACTTGTTCCGCTGTAAATCAGTTAATTCATGCTATTTAAATATTACTAAATGATGACTAATGCAAGCATATGTATGCTTTGTTACGTTCAGATATTGCCATTTACCTTCTAGAAATTACTCGTACTGGTTTATTCTGACACTTTCAATAGACATTGCTGTTTTTTTCCTTTCAGCCTTTATGTGAGATATGAGTGGTTATGTGCAAGCCCACGTAATAAAAATGTTAGAAGATGGCTACAGAGGAAAAAATCCAAGATTCCTAGAAGAAATGTTGATACTGGGAGGAAGGAGAGAAACAAGAGCAAACACAAAATTGTGAAAAACACTACTGGGCTGAAATAAAACCTGTGATGGAGGTATCTGTAGAATGCTACATTGTATCCACTGCAACCCAGAAAAAACACCAGATTAAGAATTCATGTGCTGGATGACTGCTCAACATTTTGTAGTTACAATCTATAACTTCCTAGGCTATAAAAATAATCTTTCAAAAGCCACAAAGCAAGCTGCAATACATGTCAACTGTACCTATTCTTTCTCTCTTTTCAATTGTACCTTGAAATGATCTTGTTTTTGGCGTATCCTACTGGTAAAATAAGGCTGGTAAAGGAAATAGTTGATGAATTATGTCTACTCTGCCTCATCTGCTGTGACCTCTATAATTTCCAATAGTCTGTAACTTCAAACTCTGTAACTGTCTCCCTTGACTTTCAGAGCTGTCCCTTTCCTCCTACTCTGATCTCCATTATAACAACTCTTTAAGTCTTCCTTCTTCTCCTCCTCATTCTTCTTTGGGTTTTACTACCAGTGTTCTCTTTCTTTTAACTTACCCTCTGTGCTTGAACAGATACAGGGACCATCTTTGTCCTACTGCCTTCCCAATTCTCCCAACCTGCCTTCTCCTTCCCAGGTGTGTAGCTACTTCACAGTCTGTCTGGGGGATCACCAGTCATGGCTGCAGCTTGCCAAAATGTCAACTTTGTTTTCTACTCCAACTCTTCTGTGCTTCTAGCATTCCTTGCTGCTGACAATCCTCCTTGTCCCTTATGCTCAAAATCTAGGGGCCCAAGATTCTGGCAGCCTTGCTACCCACTTCTTGCCCTTTTTCTCTGAGTGCTGTCTTTGTGCCGTCTTTCATGTTACCCCCTACTGTTTGGAGTAGTCTCCCAGACTCATTTCTCCAGGTTCCTTCCCTTCTTCAGAATGACTGACTTCCTCAACAAAACATAGAAGCTCCAATCCATGGCAGTCAGTTGCATTTTCCACTGTACCAAAGTGGAAACAGTGATTAAGGGGAAGTAGGAGATTGAAAATTTAGAAAGTCTGAGGTATCCTTATGAAGAGATATGACAGAATTAATAGGTCAGGAATGATAAAGGTGCTTATAACAATCACTTGATCTTACCCCAAAAGTCCAAGAAGTCCAGTATTACTGTAACCCTCATTTTCTTTCCACTGCTCTTCCAATTATTGTTTGTTATTTTTACTTACTGCATCAAGTCTAAAATTAGATTCTTTGCTCCCTGGAGCAACGCTGTCTCTCGTATGTCCTTTGTAAAGCACACAGGGCACGTTAAATGTTTTTGTAACTAATAATGTTCTGCAGACATATGAGAAGGGTGCATGCAGTCACCAGATATCAGAAGCAGACAATGGTTTCCCCAAAACAAAGAAAAATGGCTGTCCTTGGTGAATAGCTAGCTCCCTCAGCTGCTGAAATGCACAATGATGAAAGAAATAGCAATCGGTAAGAAAAAGCCAAGGCCTGCATCACATCTGTGCAAATGGAATAGAAGCGTTGGTGGTTTCAAGTCTTCCTCCAGTCCTTACCGGATACAGAGACTAAAGGAGGCCTTGGCACAGGTTGGAGCTGCGCCTGCTGGATCTGTTTGTACAAACTGTTCTGCTAACCCAGGATTTCTCCTGACTTCTAACACACCCAGAATAATTCCTGCTACACCACAGTGAGGGAGTCAGTGGCATAAATCTAGCTTTCTAGCAGCTGAGAATTCTACCAGGCAGGAAACTGAATTCTCTAGTTGGTCTAATAAAAGATATCGCCTCTACCACACTGACTACCAGGCAGAAAAAATCCTCATCAGGCTGCCTAAGGCAGCTTAAGTCTCCTTTGTACCACTGGAAGACTCCAACCAGGGCTGAGCCTCTGGCATGAGGCTTATTTCTCAAGCTGATTGTTTTGGCAGGGCTGTGGCTCAGCAAACTTTCAACTAGGATACAAAGTCAAGAATTGCTTCCACACAGAGGTATAGGCTGTAGCTGTGTTGGTCTAAGGACGTAGGCAGACAAGGTTCTTTGGGTAAATCTGATATATTTTATTAGACCAACTCAAATAGTTGGAAAAATTCATCTTTGCAAGATTGTGGGTATAAATACCCTTTGTCAGGCTGAGGAAGCATCTGCAGTTGGTGTGTGCTCTTCCTGGATGGAATGAATAGTAAAGAAGCCAGTGGCTGGTATGCATGCAAGAAAGGCAGTCAGTGAAGATGTAAATTGAGGAGTCAATAGGTAACAGACAGGTTGGGGTGGGGGGAATGAATGGAGCTGGTAAATAGTGGAGAGATACTTGGGGAGTCAAATTTTAGGCAGGTTATAATGTGTCATAAATCCAATGTCTATATTTAGTCCATGATTGTTTTGTATCAAGGAGTTTGATGAAGTGAAGTTCATAGGCTTGCCTGCGAAAGGTGTTTTGTAAATTCCCTCTGAGGATTAGAACTGAGAGATTGGAGAGAGAATGGTTTTCTTGTGAGAA